AGAGAGGGAGAAAGGGGAGTGTCACTTATCGGTGGTGAAAAAAAAGGTAATTATCGAAGGCTCACTAGATAGAGTGGATCTTCAAGTTTTGAGTGAGCTATCAAAATCTCCAAAATTACAGGGAGCCTCGAGCCCCACAGAGTCGCGCAGCCACCCCTGCGGCCCGCGGTCCTCCTCCCCGCTTTGCCCTAGAGCCTGAACGTGGCGGAGAGGGGCCTGGCTCCGTGCGCCCCCACAGCGCTGTCTGTGCCCCACACAGGGAACCCCCGCCTTCAGGGGTCCCGGCTCACCCACCAGCAGCTAAATTCCTCGTCTCGGTTGGAAGACAGCGCTCAGAAGCTGCAAACAAAGTGTAACCACGGCAACAGCCAATCCCAAGGAAGATGGATCGGCTTTTTCCTTACCGGTGCTCCAGTAGGACAAACTATATCCATTCGTGATTAGAACGAACGCTGCATCTCAGGAGCTGCATACGGAAGTTAAGTAGATTTTAATATTTAAATACTTTTGGAAAGTATTTAATAAAGAAATGATATGTTGGTACAATTACCGAAGTAGAAGTATCCTGATCTTTAAAATGTTTCTAATCTATCTATATTTTTTATCACTTGCATCTAGCGAATGTTGAGTTGCTTATCTGTTAATCGTTTATTCCACAAAAACCTTAATCCTGAAAAGTGATTTGTGAGGTCTGGAAATATGAAAGAGAAGCCAATAAATCATTTGTCTTCAATGACAACCATGTCTTTTTTAAAAAAGAAAACAACTCAATTATCACTCAATGCCTATCAAAAAACCTCTAAATAAATAGGTGTGTGGGATGAGAAATTAGAAAAATTATTTGCTGGAATACGTTTCACTGTAAAATATTGACGCTGACAACCAATGTTTTAATATGAAATTTGAAGTTTAAGTATATATCATGCTACTTGATTTTAACTTAAAAATTGATCAAAGCTGTGTGTGTGTGTGTGTGTGTGTGTGTGTAGCAAATATATAGAGTACAAAATGTAAAATTTCATTCTAGTTAGTAACACATATTTTTATTTTTTAAAGTTTGCAAACAAAGCATTAAATCCAAGAGGAAGTAGTTAAGCATAATTGCAAAAGGTATCTTAGATACAATAAGCTAAAAGCAAACATTTCATTGAGCATCTAAAAGGAAATAAACTGTATTTCCTGGTAACAATAAACTCATATTGCATTAACATAAGAAGTAATAATTAGATAATAGCAGAGTAAGAAATCAGTAGACTTTTGATATTAAGAAAACATGTTAGTGCCTCATTCAAGAAAGATAATGATTTTCAAAAATAAACTTCTCCTGGTTTTAGATCTAATTAAATTTAGGATATTTTCATCATCAAAGTCCATCCTAATGTGCCGCCTTTGTTTTAGTTTAGTTTTATTGCTGGTGCATAGACTATTCACTTAAATAGTTTATTCACATAAATTCTTCACTTAAAATGGTCAGGCTACAATATGATGTTGACATTCACATGTAAAAATCTTAACATTCATTTTAGTTGTAATTATGAAACTATTCCATCTTCTCCTAAAAAAATATAGAATCCATTAGTAATCTATTAATTTCTAAAACTAATTTTAAATAGCTAATTTAGTAATCAGCTAATTTGAAGATGATGTCCAGATTGCTTTCCTTCTTAAAGTTTATCTTGTCAAACAAATGGAAAGCAAAAATAAAAATATTGAAAGTTCTTCTGAGAAATTAATCCACTGTGAGTGTTACTACATCTCTTATATTCTCACGTTATTTTTTACTTTGGAAGAAAACTGACAACTCTTTCAATTAATCATATTTTAGTGACAACTATTTGAAATCACAAATTAAGGAACAAATATAATACTTATCTTAAACACTTCTTCTAGATTATATATCAATTTAACTTGAAATTATTATTAAATGATCAGTGTTTAGCATAAATCTATTTAATTGCAATCTTCCTAGAAATTGTCACCTAATTAAATTTTATTCTTATTTTGAAAATCATCCACAGGTCTGGTTGGTTTATATCCTATTGGCTTAATACAACATATTTCCCTAGAAAGAATGTAATATTTATTGAGGGAATGAAAGGATGATAGAGAACTGCTTGTTCCTCAGATATCTATAAGATTTGTTTGAACATGGTAATTGATGGTGGACTTGAAATCTAAAGTATAGTATTCTTCAACAGATGACTTATTCTTCATATGGCAGTAATGTAATTTAAATATTGCTGTACTCAAATAGCTGTGTAGCTGGTATTTGCTTGTTTGTTTCATTTTCTTAAGGGTGATTATTGAGTCATTATATTCTTAATATGCAACCCAATGTGTTGAATTCTTAGACCTCTGCTTCTCTGTTTCCATTTGAAGACTGTTCCAAACTTTCAAGTTCCTCTCCAACATTTTTGTGCTCTGTCTTTTCAGCTGCCATGACCGCCTACTTCAGAGTCCATCGCTTTCCCACAGTTCCCATCCCATTTTGCATCCATCCTCATGCCCACCCACCTTGTATACTTTTAATGTTTCTATAGTAAAATGTGCTATAATGAGATAAATAGCTAGCATTTAGCCTTCCACTGGGCTAAGTGTTTTCCAAATATCTCATTTAATTTTCACAGCATCCTTTTAAGTTGTGTGCTGTTATATTGGGCATTTACAGATGATGACTTATATGGTTAATATCTCTGGGTTTGAACCTCATCTCTGCCTTATAATGACTGGGCAATTCAAGCAATTTATGGTACCCTCCTGAGTCTCTTTTTTCACTGGTAATTCTGACAGTGATAGCATAATAGTGCCGAATTTGCAAAATTTTGATGATCGAGGGAATCAATATAAATGACACATTTTAGGATATGGGATAATGCTAATAGTTTACATATTTAAGTTCTACAGACCTAGGTTCAAGTTTCCTCTTTGCCTCTAACATCCCAATGCTGGCAATTCAACTTCCTGTTATACCTCTGATATCCTGGAACTGTTCCACAGCTGTCTTACAGTTGATACCACATTCATTTCCTATGAACTAGCTTTGAAAATTACCTCCATCTTAATTTTCTCTCTCTCTTTTTTTTTTTTTTTTTTTTAGCTGAGCCATCCTGCCACCTGTTGGCAGCTCAGCGGCAGCACAGCTTGGGCCAGGAATCGAACTGCTGTTACTCAGAGCTCACACAGTTGAGCGAACTCTTAACCAGCTGAGCCACTCGGCCAGCCCTCCATCTTAGTTTTCTAATTTGACTTTCACACTGGTTACAGAATTATGGTTCCCTATTACCTTCAGAAAATAAAAGCAAATTCTTAGCAAACATACATGATCCTTCATAATCTACACAGAGTCCACTTATCTTTCATCTCTGGCCACTCTGACCCATGTTCCCAAGCACTTTACTGGAAAGCCTGTGAACAGTGTTCCATCTGTCTTAAAAGTTCCTACCTCTAGCCAGCTCACTCTTTTTGACCTCTATATCATTTAACATCATTTTAGAAATTTCTTCCTCTATTGGTTTCTCTGAGGTCATGCTTTGGTTATCTTCTCATCTTGTAGAAGTCTGCTTTAAAAAAATCCAAATTCCTAATTATAGCATTCTCTACCACCAAACCTCTGCTGATTTTTAGCTAAAGTCAATCCCTCTTCTATTTCATTCATCCCCATGATATCACCTCTCAGTGGATGACCCCCAAGACTGCATAACATACGCTGTCCACTTCCAGGGCTTAACCACAAAGATATCTTCTACCAATTCAAACTCAATTACTAAATATTAAATTTATGAATTTTTTCAAACAGTGTTTCCCATGTTTTCTATTTCCAATGATTATGATCATTCTTTTATTTTTCCTATCCTATAGGAGCCCTTCTGATCATCTTTGATTATTTTCCATACTAAAACATATATGGACACTGTATCCAAGCCCTCCTTTTCTCCCTCGAAGTATCTATTATAATGCCCTTTCTTAACTGTCAGGGGTTTGTTTGGCTCTCCCACCCTAATCACTCTTTCCTTCATCTTGGGCACCGAATTGCCTCCACCTCCAGCTGTGTATTGTCAAGTGACAATTCCACAGGCCAGTGGAATTGTAGGCAGAGGAGAAACATGCAGCGTCTGCCTCACTTGGTTAAAAGATGCTTTCCTGAATCTACTCACCTCCTTTTTTTGTCTGCTGGCTATAAAGGATGACACCTGAGCAAATTTGGGAGCAATATATTGAACAGGCTGGAGCAAGCCCCAGGCTCCTAAGATGATTTTGTAGAAGAGAACATATTACCCACCCTGGGCTGAGAGAAACAAATTTCAGTCTATATTTAAATTTGAGTCCTTTAATAAAACATTTAAGCCTTGACTCTAATGTGCTATTACCAAATCAGCAGTCAAGTAATATGCCTTAAACATTTCACCCCAAAGTTAAACAGAGAGATCTCATTCATTAGTCTCCTTTTTCTGTCTTATTCACAAACAAAGAACAGGACTTTAGGCCTAAGATTTTGTTCCGCCTATAGGAGAAGATCACAACTTTCTCATGTGCTGAAGTAAATAGAATTGAAGCCAAAAAAATACAGAACTACAGCATCTTGGGGAGTAACTGAAATAAATATTAGGCAGATGTGTCGTCTTTAGCTCATGCGGTTACTTAGTCAGGGCAGACTACTAAAAATCAGGCAGTCTTTCCCACTGAGTGTCCCATCCAAACAGGCCAGGCAGTGGAGGAATCCAGGAATAAGACTAGAGGACAGAAATTGGAGAAACCAAAAGACAACAGGAGGGTTCAAAGCAGAGGATGGGAGACAAAGCCTGGAGAGGCTTCCCTTGAACTTTGGGAGTTTTTAGGAGGAATGTGCCCTCAGGTCAAAGTAGGGAGGGAAGTGCCTGAACTGTAACCTAGACATCTCGTATTTCATTTTTTTTTTTTTTTTTAGCTGAGCCATCCTGCCACCTGTTGGCAGCACAGTGGCAGCTCAGCTCAGGCTGTGAATCAAACCGGGGACCCTGTTGCTCAGAGCTCAAACTCTTGAGCGAGCTCTTAACCAACTGAGCCACTCAGCTGGCCCCATCTCATATTTCTTAACTTCCTGATGCATTCTTCATGTCAGCAAATAGATTGGTTTCTTCCTAAATAGGCAAGAATAGCTTCAACTTCGTCTTATTAAATCTTTATCATGTGAAGTATTCACTGAATGCATTAAAACATGTAAATTACAACACTTTTTAAAATGGTGCTTGTTAGAATTAAAACAATGAAGGAAAAGAGAAAACCCAGAAACATACCCAGGAACATTTAAACCCTTGATATCTAATAAAGCACCAAAAATGAATAAGGTGTTGATTTTTCCATAGAGGTTTTAGGTAAATTGGCTCTCTGGAAAATAGTTTTAAATTAAAACAACATTAAGTTACACTGTATATACACTGTATATACACTGTAAATTTTAGGTGAATTAAATAATACTGAGGGTGCCAAAAAATGTACACATTTAAGAGATGTTATCTGTGTGTTGCTTTCCGAAGTTGAATTGGATTACCTAGCAATATGTAGTATGATGTTCGCTCAAAAGATGGCATTAATAAAACTGACTGCTAGTGTCATTCATGGTATTACAGTTTTTTTCCTTTCTTAAAATGTGTATATATGTTTTTGGCACTCTTTGTATAATTATTTCATTCAACAATTATCTGTTGAATACCTGCTATGTGCTAGACTCTGGGGTTATAATGGTACACAAGACCTGCTCTCTTCACTTAAAGCCCTCAGAGACAATGTAGGAAGAAAGACAAATGAAGGAGAAAATAGGCCAAAATTGAAGTGAGGCAATGGGAGACTTCAAGGAGGATCTGATGTTATTCTGGGAAAGAGTAAGGGCATGCACAGGTGAAGGAAAGCTTTCCAGCAAGGAGAAAGGTGTATTAAGACTAAACTACACAACATATTTTACTTTCTGAAAGTTGCAAGTTCAGTAAGGCAGCTATTGACATGTTATACAAAAATGCAGACAGAGAAAAACAGGTACAGTTTCAATGTATCTCCAATATGTCCTTATATTCTAGAGGGCAGAGGGGAATGTTATACTGACCACTAGTATGAGAAGAAAAATATAAAAATAAATGACATTAGCAGGCAAAATTATTTAACATTGTTACTGTGGTGAGTGTTTATAGTACAAGTTGTGCTTATCTTTTCAGAATCATCAGTATCTGGGGAGAAAAAGAATGTTAAGGAAAAGCAAACTATTAATTTTTAAATACTTTCTTACTCTCATTAATGGAGCTTTCTTGGTAAGAACCTTCAAATTTATTTAGTAAAGAAATTGCAATGTGTTTTTATTGGCAATTACTAAAAGTCGCATTGACTCTTTTTTTGTAGGTTCTTGGACTTTTACTCATGGGATTTGTTGCATGGCTTTTATTAGATAGAAATAATTTTATCACTGCTGTAGGTATGTGTTTATTTTCCTTTTTCTCTGAATGAAACAAGGCATTCCATTTTAAACAATTTCATACATGATGTACTCAGCAGGTGGCAGTATTTCTCTAAAATTCAATTTTCCCTCTGAAGGTCTGTCAATTGGTTTTAAAATACCTTATTAAATAATAGGACTTAAATCCAAGGCCATAAAGGAGAGAGGATTTGGGGAGAGAAAGCTAGAAACTTTGAACAAGAGGACTGAGAGAAATGGAAAATTGGTATTATTTTGCTCACCCTGGACCTTTACAGCTCTGTAGACTTGAAAAGATAATAGTTTCACTGCCCAAGTTAAAATTATTTAAATCATTTAAAACTCAGTTACTGTCTACTTTCGCCATCACATGGTTAGAAGTAAAATATAATATTCCCTAGGGAACAACCTAAGTGTCCATCAATGGATAAAGGGATAACGAATATATATATATATATATATATATATATATATATATATATATAATTCAGCTATGAAACAGAAGGAAATCCGGCCATTTGTGACACCATGGATGGACCTTGAAAGCATTATGCTAAGTGAGATAAATCAGACACAGGCACAAATACCGTATGATATCCCTTATAGGTGGAATCTAAAAAAAAAATCAAAAACTAACTTTGTAAAAACAGAGAATAGAATGGTAGTTATCAGGGGCTGTGGGGTGAGAGAATTGTAGATACGTTGTTGAAGGGTTCAAACTTATAATTAGTAGATAATTAAGTTCTGGCGATCTAATGTACAACATAGTGATTATAATCAATAATACTGTATGATAAACTTCCAAGTTGCTAAGAGACCAAATCATAACTATCCTCAACTCAAAAAGCAATGATAAATATGTGACATGATAAAAGTCTTAGCTAATGCTACTATAATAATCATATTTCAATACATAAATGGACCAAGCCAATACATTGTACACTTTAAAGTTACACAATGTTTTATGTCAGTTGTATCTTAATAAAAAGATTTCCCATAGAATTTTGAAATTCAGATTAAAAGACTCTGGAGTTAGTCTCATCCAGGTAGCCAAGATTGTGAAACACAGGACCTATCAGCAGCCATGTTTTCCCTTCTGAACTGAGACACATCAAAAGCTGTTCTGGAGGAAAAAGAGAAATCAGATTCCGAAGAGAGACAGAGATGAGAGAGAGACATCATCCACCTCTGACTTTTGCAAGGCCCACAGTGCATCTCTACTTTTCCCATTGCTGTTGTTCGGATACTTTTTGCATGTCCCCAGATAAAATAATTGAATACATTTAACTTTATTTAAAAAAACACCTTTACATCTTTATCTTACCCTTATTTTAGCACAGTGTGGTATGCCATGGTCACTGTGGACTGAAGTTTAATAGCCTAAGGGTTATTTTTATATAAATATCCTTGGTTGGCAGGAGGGAGCCACATTTCAAGTGCTCCGTAGCCATATATGGCTATTGGGTATTGGCTAACTTATTGGACAGCACAGGTATAGAACTCTTTCATTATTTTAATAAGTTCTACCGAACAGCACTGTTAATGATTAAATATATGGCAAAAGCATGTGCTGTAGGGGCATCCTATTTCCCAGTTATATCAAGTAAGAAAACTATGTTTATAGGGAAAAAAAGCTAAATGGAAAGATTTAACGTGTAATAAAGTACTACTACTTGTTGAATAATTTAGCTAAACGTCAGCTATACCTAAATGCCGGGTATCTTTATTCTCTTCTGTTTGTATATTTTGCTTATGAGAAAGTCCTAATGATGTCTGAGTGCATTAGCGGTTTGCTCAGAGTAAATGCGTGTGGAACTTTCTTTCTTTTCCTTCCCCACAAGACTGATAATCGTAGCGTCCACTTATGTTATGTTGATGCTGTACCAGGCACCGGGCTAAGTAGTTCTCATACAATATCTAAGTTAATAACAATGTAGTAATTAGTGTGAAGCAAGTCATTTTCTTGTCATTTTTCCCCTCCATTTTGGACTTGACAGATAATTCTCATTAACCATAATGTTCTTGCTTGTGAAATACCCCTGCAAAGTAGCAGGAAATGCATCCTTTAAGCGTTTTTTTTTTTAATCGTGTATTTAAAACACTGAGTGAAATCTCAGCTGAGGTTTCAGTATGGGGAACTGAAAATGACCAGTTTGAGGCAAAAACTGTTGGGTCCTCCTCTCTTCTTTATTTACATCTTTCAATCAATTTGCCTCTTTAAAAATTTGGCCTGCCCTCACCGCTCCATTCAAAATAACACATGACACCTAACATCTCCGTTCTCTGTCATTGAAATAGCCTCCAATAGCCTTGAGCCCTAATCTCCTTTCTCAACCATCTTCCAAATGCCACTGAAGTAGTTAATTTAAAAGGCGAATTTAACCATGTAACATTAAAAGCCTTTCTCTGACTCCCCACCGCCATTACTTATTCATATGACAAATACAGAGCATCTTTTACATGCTGGGCACTATCCTGTGGGTTGAGGATATAGTAGTATAAAAGAAAGATAAAGGTTCTGTACTCATGGAGTTTAATTCCAGTGAGGAAGACTGAAAAACACCATACAAAATGCCCATAATTTGGCACCTGCAAACCTTTCCAGTCTCAGCTGCCTTAAACAGTAAGCGCCTGCAATCCTACACACTGTGCTTTTGTGTGTCTCAGGTGCTTCTATCATTCCAAGCTAGGTATTTCCAATTATCATTTAAAGCCTAAGCTCAGCTGTTACCTTCTCCAGTAATCTTGCCTATCTACACCCTCCAAACTCCTTCCCCTACCGGGTTGGGTGCTATTGTACCCAATGGTGTGCTGGCAGATGGATGGAGAGTCTTGATTTATGGTATTTAATGATTTCCATGCTTTAAATTACTCCTATAAGGGCCGAGTTCAAGGTGCCAATGTGAACTGAGTTTGCTTATGAATTTTGTGTGGAAAATTAACAATTGGTTTTTATGAGCCAGAGCAAGCTGGCTCTAGCACACCACTGCCTCTACTGTTCTCCGATAGGACCTAGGCCATGTTTAATATATTAATTTTCCCCCTTTTTTAAAAACAAATATTTGTTGAACGTTTAGTGTTCTATAATCTGTGCCATAGCACTAAGCATTTAACAGTCTGTTGAATGAATATATATATATGTATATATTCTCTATATATTCTGTACTAATTCTCTAGTACAGAAAGCTCAGTCTAAATGTGAAGAGAAGAAAATATAACTTTATTAGTAATAAATTCAGGTAACTTAACCTACATGTTAGGTACCTATTTTTTTTTATGAAATAATAAATGAATGAATGAATGAATACATAAATGTATGCATGTTAGTCATAGAAAAGCTCACCTTAGAAAAAACTGTCTTCTTTTATTGAAGACACTGAAGATGAAGTAAAGGTAAAAGAGAGCCTCTGAGAGTAAAGAAATTATCCATCATGGCATTAGAGGAAGAAAGTTACTTGCTCTTGCTAAGAGTAAGTAAGAGGATCTAGAATGAGGTTTTAAAAAGAGAGAGAAAGAGAATGCTAGTGGTTTGGCAACAGTTGCTTATGGAAAACTTGGGTTACTGAATTGATTATTAAATAGAAAACAAATATCACTTAATAATAAGTTATTCTGTGATTTCCACAGATGAAAATAATCACTTGATAGTATATATTTTTCGAATTTTCATTGGAACTGGATCGGCTGTTGTTCTTCTTTGTCTCTTGGGTTATTTGGGAATTCACAGTGAAATCAGATGTCTCCTAATTCTGGTATGTATTTCACTTCAATATCCTGAATGTGTATCTTCCATGTTGAGTGTCCAAGTCACACAAATAGAATGATTTATGTTACCATAACACTGCAGGATAGTGTGCCCCTGGCCATAAGGTAAATGAAGCGTCCCCTCCCAAGAAACTGTTCCAGGTGGAATTTGGGGGTGGTGGTTTCCATGGGTCATCTCTACTTCAGCACTTGCATGCTTAGATATTAATTTTTAGCACAGTATCAATAGGAAACCATCTCCTAGGGTGAACTACAATGAACCAAACTTAAGAATCTGAAGACCAAAATCAGAATAAAGTATATTAAAGTCAACGAGCCATGTACCTTAGCAAGGAAAAGGCAACATCCTGTCGTCATCCCATTTTCTCACGTGGGCACACCATGTAGGAAGCTAACTTATAACTGAGATCACACTTTATTATTTAAAAAAGAGAAATGTAACTGCTGAGAGGGGCAGACCCCAGCATCTGCTAACACTCTCTCTCTCTCTTCACCGAGGCCTGTAACATGAAAAGATAAATTATAATCAGGAATATAGACCCAAACATAAGCCATTCACATGTATATGGTAGGTATGGTTCACAGTTCACACCCTTAGATGGAATATAGTTTTTACTATTTCTTTAAATCTAATTAATTTACTTTCACAGGCACTCTCCTGTCAAGCAGGTAAGAAATTGAACTGCCATGTATCTTGCCAGGAAGAATGCAGAGACACTTAGCTTTTATTTATCACTGAAATTCTGAGTGGTCACTCTGGACAGTGGTTTTCAGTCTACTGCTCGAGGGAACTAACTGCATTTCCTTCTGTGACAGTTTTAGATCTGAATGAAGACGTTATCAACAACTCCATTAGACCATGTAGTCTGTAAGAGCTGTCATGAAATACTGTTATTCTTTCTATCTTACTCTTATCCAAATGCTCACTGACATTTTTCCCCCCATTTTTGTTTGTTTGTTTGTTTGTTTGTTTGTTTGTTTGAAAAATGTGACTCATGTATATAAGGGCAGAAAACTTCAGTGATACCTATGTATATTTTAAGACTGAGTATTGCACCTGATGTCTGTTTTCCCATCATTATAAGCATCTAAGAATATTTGACAAGCATCGTTGTCATCTTTTTTTTTTGTTTCAGTATGCAGTGCTATTAATGTGTGCCTTTGGTGTTCAGGTCATTCTTTCAGCACTCATCTTCATAAAGAAAGAGGAGGTAAGGAAAGATCATCCTTTTTTTCTGAAATCCAAAGGAAATCCAAAGAAAATTGGATTCCTCAGATTACTGAGGCTATGGGCCTACATACAAAGCAAAAGGGAAATGTCTTTGGGGGGCGGGGGGGGGAAATCAGTGGAAGTACTAGAATTCTATATATAGGAAGAGCCAGAGATTAGATTGGAAGGATGTGTTCAGGCACTTGTCTTTAACTCTGTTTGCAGAAGATTGAAAATGTAAATAACAAGGAGTATAGGGGAAGAGTGTTGGAAAATCCAAAATTGGCCCTTTCCCGCCTCCAGCCTGCCCCCTGTACCATTGCTGACCCAATCACTGTACTATATTCTATTCTTATAAAGAAATGCCTCTAGACTTGTACTAATTTGAAATTAAGCAATTTTGTTTAAGTAAGGTGGACTGAGTAATTCATATATTTTGCACAGGTATGGTCATGAGTGATAGTTAAATTAATTAGAACAAGATTTATCTTTATCAAGGTAAGTTCCAAATAGCACATAATAAATTGCCTGAAAAAAGTTTGCTAACAAAACTTACCTACCTATTACAGCCTGTGGTTACTTTTACTCCTTTAAGAAATTTCAGCGGTTCGGTGTAGTCAAGGTCTGTTTTTGTATCATGAGAGATTGTCCTTTAGTGAAAAGAGTATGACCTTGAAGTCATACAGATCTGCCTATGACTAGAGATCAAAAAGCTACTTAACAGCCCTAAGCCTATGTCTTCATCTGTAGAGTATGAAGGGAAGTTAGTACCAACCGACCTCCTAGAGTTATCATTAACGGTCAACTTCCTGTCATAGAGTAGCTATTGAAGAGCTCTCTTCCTTCTCAGTATTAATTCAGAAGGAGCCCCTGATTAATTCCTATGCTTCCTAGCATTCAAATTCTCACTACATGTAGACCCCCTAAGCAGTGGCAAAACCCCTGGGAAATCTTTTCTATATAACGCCACTGCCTCCTACTTCATTGGTTCTCTTGTGCTTGGTATCTATCCTGGATATCTAACTACCCTACATCTACTGTTAATGGCCTGGAATTTGTAGTTAAATTTTTTTCTCCACATCCAGAATGTGGTGTGTGTGTGTGTGTGTGTGTGTGTGTGTGTGTGTGTGTGTGTGTTTGTGTGTTTGCATGCACACGTACAGCAGGTGAGTCCTGTAAAGCTTCTTTACAGTAGCAGATTCCAACCCAACCCAGGAAAACACCAGATCCCAACCCATCAGCCTCTAACTTATGGGCCTAGTGATAGAGATAGAACCTGAATATAACACTTAAGGACCCTTAATACATAAATATCATTTATCAGTGTCACCCGTATATACTTAAGTACTATTCATATACTACTCTTGTTTTTAGAATAAAAAGAATCACTTAACAATTACTACCATGTGCCAGAGACTATGATAAGCACTTTCTAGTCATTATATTGATCTTCACAACCCATAGAGAAGCATTGTTAGTCCCACTTTCTAGAACAGTGTACTGAAGCTTTGAGAGGGGAAATACTTGCTTAAATATATCATGGCTACATGATAGAGACTGGACTCAAACACTTATTAGCTGATCCCAGAAATAACACCGAATGTTTACATTGATTTGTTTTCTCCATGCAAACCAGATTAAGGTCTTATGAGCTTCTATATCTTTCTTTTGAAACCTATGTAATTTTACTAACCATTTTACTAACTTAAAAATTGTATTAAATTTATTGGGATGAAATTGGTTAGTAAAATTTTATATGTTGCAAACATACAATTCTGTAATACATCATCTATATATCACATTGTGTGTTCATCACCCAGAGTCAGTTCTCCTTCCATCACCATGTATTTGACCCTCTTTACCCTCATCTACCATCCCCTCCCCCTTTTCCTCTGGTACCCACTAAGCTGTTGTCTGTGTCTATGAGGTTTTGCTTGTTTTTTTGTCTTGTTTGTTTCTTGATTTCAGTTTTATATCCCACATATGAGTGAAATCATATGGTTCTTGACTTTTTCTGTCTGACTTATTTCTCTTAGCATAATAATCTCAAGATCCATCCATGTTGCTGCAAATGGCAGTATTACATCTTTTCTTATGGCTGAGTAATATTTCATTGTGTATATACCACATCTTCTTTGTCCAATCATCTGTCTTCTTATTCATAAAATGGGAATAGTATCTGTCCTTTGCAACTTTTGATATTTTTGAGGACCAAGTTAAGAATTAGTTATGAAAGTCATATAAACTTTTGAATATGTAAGTAAGACCAAGTGCATCCACACTCACTGAGATTGCTAAAAATAGTTATAAGAAAGAAAAAAAGCACTTAGAAATAAGCAGAAAACAGCACGTTGACTTGGAATACCCTTTTATGAAGAGCCATAAGGAAAGTTTCTGTCAAAATTTCACTTTTGATACAATTTTCAACAGGTTCAACAAATATGGCATGATGAAATTGACTTAGTCATTTCTCAGTATGGATCTAAAGACATGCCTGAAGACATTCCAAAGTGGACTATTCTGAATACTTTACAGAAAACAGTAAGACACAATTAGCATAAAACTAAAAATTAGATGTGAAAGGTGACCCCTGTAGGTTAGTGGGGGGAGACAGGGAAGGGCAGGGGGTATGGGCAGAAAAATGAGAGGTTCTTGTATTTCTTCCAATCAGGGTTTAATTGCAGATTCCCCACTTACAGATTTTGAGTTTTATTTTCCTTTTGTAACTTGTATCTCCTTTTCTGGGTTAATTGATGTGCATTTTAACCTGGTTTCACATATAAGAGTGTGGGAGGCCTTCTGCCAGGAGGGGTTATCTGCCCTCCCTGTACATGTGGGAGGCAAGTCTGAGCACAGTCCTGTAGGCAGCAGAGCAGCATGACAGTTCCCATTTGAGTCTAAATGTCAGGATTGCCATGCAATAGCTTTGTGACCTTGGACAAGTCATTTTCTTAACTTCATGTTTCATATTAGTAAAATGAGCAGAGTAACTCCTATTTCTGGTTGGCAGGAATCAATGAAGTAAAATGTTCAGTATTTAGAAAGCCTTGGATCTGAGACATAGTAAGCAACACATACTGATCAGCTAATGTTGCTACGATTATTATTTAACAGTTCAGATTTTTCTGGGCAGGGAAGGGAATTGGTATGGTCGGCCAAGTAATTTACAGGAATAGAACAGTACCTGGAACATAGTAAGCTTGATAAAGAAAATAGCAAACATTTGCGTAGTAGCAGGCCCTTTTGTAAGTGTTTTGCATATATTAACTCATTTAATCCTCTAACCCAATGAGGTCAGAACTCTTATCCTCATTTTATAGATGAATGAAAGAGTAATTCAGTAACTGAACCAGTGTCACCCAGTTAATCAATGGCAGAGCCAAGATTCAACCCCAGACAAACTAGCACTGGATTTTGTACTCTTAACTGCTACACTAAAGGCCTCATGCAAAAACAGTTACTATTTTTTTTTTACTATTTTTTTTAATAACAAATGCATTTTAGAAGAATTGAAATATAATTATAAATGCCTTTACTTTGCATACTTTTTTCTCTGATGTATGTGATCTGCGCAGGTATTGCATTTTCAAATTGCATTATGATGCATAGCAGAGTATGGAACCTTCTTATGGTCATAAATTGATGACAGGAAACAGGAAAACGATTCTATGTATGACTATAATTACTATAGTATATTACTATAATTAATGAGAATCCAGCTTACAGTTTCTAACGATGAATATAATTAATACAGTATATGTAGGTTTGATTGGTTGAACTAACTTTCAATATCCAAACTCTAAAGCACTATTTTAGTCATTCAAGATTTCCAAAATTGTGCCAAAATTGTTGGCACATATTGTGACATAGGCAGTACTGTTACGGTTTTCAAAAAAAAAGTAAAAAGGAATGAAATATTCACTTCAACTTTTCTTATTTCTTAGGTGATAAATGTATAATATGATTCTTTCATACCATCCCAACTCAACTTAATAGGATTGGAAATGAGACATTTCTTAGATGTTAGATAATTTTTATGACCATCTTCCTAACCATCTTTTTTGGTTCTTTGTGGCAATTTTTCATACAATACAAAATTAAAAGTTAACATCTCGCATTAATCCTAAGAAAGTAGAAATAACCCTGAATCTCTTTATGCATACTCATAATAAAAACATATGGTAGCATATTTGGCATAAATATAAAGATAGCTGCTATAGTTAAGAGGAAAATGTGGCTAAGGTGATTCTCTCTTCTGTTTCCTGGCCCTAAACATGTATGTAGCTTTAGTAAAAATCAAGCGTACCTTTCATCTTGGGTTCCTATAAGATAAATTCAGATATAACAATTTCATTCAAACATAGCCCACTTCTATAAATAGAGATCTTTACCTCTGGTTAACATCAACAATAGCAACAGCAAAGATAGATTAAACAAACAGCAATACACTTATTTGTTCAACTCGCTACATTTCAATGAAGAATAAATGCATAAATTCATCATGAAAACATTTTAATATGCATGGGCATGATAAAATTAACTTTATTTTGAATATTTTATAATAAAATTCATAGAATCTTTTTTCTAGTTGCAGTGTTGTGGCCAACACAATTACACTGATTGGATAAAGAATAAGAATAAAGAAAATTCAGAACAGGTGCCGTGTTCTTGCACGAATTCTACATTGAAAAAGTGGTTTTGTGATGAGCCACTGAATGCAACTTACCTGGAGGTAAAGATAAGTCAAGGGTGCAGGTATTTAGAGGGCTCCCACCCCTCTTTTTGTGGGTCAGTTTAGAATTCAGAGCAAATTTCGTATAAAAACCATGTTATTCATGGTGATTAGGTTCTTAAGTGACTTCACTACATTGAAACAAATAGATAAATTGTAGTATTATTTCAGGTATATAATAAATAAATAAACTATTTGGGAGTGTGTGATCTAAGTGCTCCTAGAACTGATACCTTCAACCTTTCTCCCCAACCGTCTTTCACAAATCCTTGCAGAGGGAAGAGGCAAATCTATTGAGAATAGAGCTTCAATAGCAGAATTATAGTGGCATGAGGATTAGCAAAAACTGAAGGGAGGGGACCCAGCAATGACAAAAGTGGTGTTCAGGTAACCATGGCAGAAGCAAGAGTACAGGTTCCCCTGGAAACCTGCTAATTAATAGGCATGAGATGGTGACAAACTAGGGATTCCCATCCCAAGAACTTCTGCCAGTGTGTATAGCTCATATACTAATGTTATTCTAATTTTAAGATGTATCTTTCCATGACATAATATATTCATAGATAAATCGAGCATTATTTTTTTAAAAGCTTAGCCTATTTGGGTACTAATCATTTTAGGCAGTAGTATATACCCTGCTGAATTACAATAGTCTTGCAGAAAATCAAATCCCTCTCAAAACTTAATCAATTTCTGATTTCAATTGCATGCCAGCATCTCAGCAACTTCAAAAGTAGCAACTGAGGTGTCCTGCTGTCATACGAAGCTCCCTGGACTAAAAAGTCCAGTCTCTAGTTAGACATTGACTAGCTTCTTAGATTTTGGTAAATTTCTCTTCTCCGTGCCTCTTCTTTGTAATAAAATTATGTATCAGACCATGTCCATCTCCAAATCAATCTGAGTGACTTCTTTTCCTTAGGGTTGTGAAAACAAAATCAACACATGGTATCAAGTTAATGCTTTAACATTAATTGGAATTAACGTTGGACTTTTGGTAACAGAGGTAAGTTTTTGTTCCTGTTTTAAAGATAAAAAACCATTAAGTATAAACTATACAGAATAAGCTGCAGAACAACCAGGTAGAGACCTAATCTGACAAGTTAATCCAATAGGAACCAGGACCTTGAAACTCTGCACCGAGAGGTATAGGTCTCAGCTGTAGGTGACATTCCTAAATCAGCCAAGTGGGTGGAGCCTGTTAATAACTGGTCATCCTGGCACATAACGATTTCCTTGCTTTGTGACATCTATATAAAAGTAATACTTCCTGTCTTGGCAGTGAGAGCACTGTTGGGCAGTCTGTAAGGTGGCAAACTTCTGAAATCTAGGCAGATGTTTGACATTGGTAAATCTACTGTCCACTCCTAGAGTCATTCATTCAATCAGTAAATTTGGAGAGGGGGAGATCTACTGTGTGTCAGGTACAGTACTAGATGTTAGAGATATAGTGAGAAGCAAAGTAGACATACTCCATAACGTGAGGGATGCCAACTGCAGAGTTGACATTCAGAAGCAGGACTTCATTTTTCAGTGTCAGTGAAGGCTGATGAGAACAAAGGAAGATCATGGATTCAAGGAAGCTGTGGCAGTGGGTAGATTATCACAGTACAGACTATTATATTGGAATGAATATAGAACGCAGAGGTTGGCTAAAGTAAGACACTGAATTTAATTTTATGTTGATCCACAAAAACAATGACCTAAGTTTCTATAATTTCTCTTCAACTGGTAAGTTTTAGTCTCAGAATGAGGGTAAACCAAGACATCCATGTGAGCATTAATATATTATAGTTCTTTCGAAATGTTTATTCTCTAGTGTGTCCATGTTGAGATGTTTAAGACAAAACTGAGCGGTGATGGCATCTGTGCTCCATTTTATTATCTACCCTTTACACACCAGTTTTCATGATCTTATGCCAAAAAGAGGCAGTGTTGTAGGATGGATGATATAGTTAGATGATAAACAAAAAACAGATCATCAGTTCATCCAGGCAGCTAGCCCAATGATAGCCCAGGTAATTAAAACTGGAGAATCTATTCCTTAATCTCCCCTATAAGTGAATTTAGTGACAACTGGGGTACTCTAGAGGACCCAGTCTGCAGACTTCTTATTCACAATCGTCTGTACCTTACTCTGAAATTTTCTCACCCTATTTGATCCCTTTTCCCTTTACAGTATGCATTTTGGTGACTGTATAGTGTTAACTTTACAAATTCTTATTGATTACATTTTGATCTCTTATTATTTTCTTTTCTTATAGGTTTTGCAAACCTCATTAACTGTTTCTTTCTACAGACACATCAAGAATAGAATATATGCAGAAATGTGATCTTTGGACATTAATTTGTACAGAAGATTTGAGTTAATTTTCAAAATAACCATTTTGTATTATTCTAAAAAATTTATGAATTACATTAATGAAGTGTAGGACTTAATGAGGTCATTGGTTAAAGGTAACCTAAAATTATTGAAATGATAATAAATCATTCCATGAATTATTTATTAATTTTTGTTTTCTAAAATATCAAAAATTACAAAATATCAACTTTACCTTGAATTATTTTCTGAATTCAGAGGATAGCACCACATATATTGAATTCAAAATGTGGTGAAGTACCATTATATGTTTTGAGTTTCCTTTCTTTTTTTTTTTTTTTTTTTAGCTGGCCATCCTGCCACCTGTTGGCAGCTCAGCAGCACCTCAACTCAGGCCAGGAATCGAACTGCTGTTGCTCAGCGCTCAAACTCTTGAGCGAGCTTTTAACCAACTGAGCTACTCGGCCATGTTTTGAGTTTATTATGTAGAAAAAATACCTGTATAATGCTCAGAAAATACTCATTAGGTAAGCAATTATAATATGTACCTAACATTAGCAAATTTTAATAAAACAACACCAATTTATAGGAGATTTAAAAGAAAGATTGAAAATCTTCATGACACTTATTTGTATACTGAATTAATCATTTGTTTCTCTCTTTTGATAATGCTTATGAGTGGACAATAAACTTAACATTTTTGAGATTTGGATATACTTTGGTGGTAATAAAATATTAAAATGACAATGAAGTTTTAACTGTAGAAAAAAAAAGAATGTATTCTAAATTATCACTGAATTCACATACTTTACTGGTTCCTCATTTTCTTCTCTTTTTCCTTGAATTTTATTCAATGTTTGCAGGCACAATTCTCTGAAGGATACAGACATAACCTACCCATTCTATTTTCCTAGCAATGATACTGTGCAAACAGAAAAAATGCCCTTTGAAAAATAAAAAACTACTATTCAGATGTGGGGTATTACTGTATCGTTGTTGTCTTTCATAGTAAAAGGCTGTATTGACCTTGAGAAAATGAAGAAAGGATAGATTAACTGAAGGTCCCACATTGCTCCCACTCTTATAGAAGTTTCACTCTCATTTACTAATTCAATCATATTTTTTTTATCCATGTATTCAGTACATTGCAGATTTCAGAGACCTGTAGAAATTTTTTTAAGTCAGCACAAAGGAAAATAGAATAACCATTTTTTCAAAAGCAACCTGTAAATAGATATGCCTTCTATGCTTTAAGGAAAATCCTCTTAGGATTTAAAGCTCTTTCAAATTCCTATTTTCTCTAAAATATGCCTCAAGAGCACACTAATAGCAAAAATCTCTCTGCTACTTGGAAGTTGAAAATGAACTTACTGGTAATCAAATAAATATTATAGATTATTTGATTATATACTTGTTTTTGCATCCAGGAAATTAAAAACGTTCTCTACATACTAGATTGCCTATTTTCCATTAATAGAGTTTATTTACAAAATGCATGCACCACTCGCTGAACCTATTACCTTTATGATTCTAGGGAATATTATCTTGAAGGACATTGCTTTATACCTAAATAAAATAAATACTTGTTTGGTAAAATAAAAGAGTATATCATGGTCATGTCTCTCTATTTAATCATTTCTTTTTTTTAATTTCTTTTTTTTATTAGTTTCAGGTGTACAGAACAATGCAATAGTTACCCTTTTCACCCCTCACAAAATAACAATCCCCCACCCCCCATCCACTGCCCTCCCACCCCAGATATCATACTTATCTATTACAATTCCAGGGACTCCATTCCCACACTCTACTCCACATCCCGTGACTATATGTATATATAATTATAGTTTACATACAATATTATTCAACATCAGCTTCAGATATACAGTGCGGTGGTCAGGCCTCTACACCGTCTATGAAGTGGTCTCCCCAACAAGACCTGAGT